ATCGAAAAGGCGTAGTTGAACCAAAAGTTTCCGATACCGAAAAATATAACTCGCCTTTAAAATCCTCCACTCAATCCAGAAATTTTGGCGACAATTAGTGAGGCTCAGAAAACAAAAAGAAGTATATTTTTATTATTCAAGGCCAGGTTGGTAAATGACTAGCTGCTCTGGCAGAAGGTCTGAATAGTTTCCTTACTGTCGACGAAAACCTAGACAACACACTAAATCCCAGAGATATCCACAGAATATCTTTTGTGGATATCCAATATATCCACAGGATATCAGAAATATCCCTTGGATCTAATATGGATATCCAAATGTCCGTCTATATCCAGAATATAGAAGATATCCTATAGATATTTAGCAAAATATCTTTTGGGTATCTTCCAGATAATACAAGAAATCCCAGAGATATCCACAGAATATATTTTGTAGATATCCAATATATCCAGTAGTGGATCTAATATGGATATCCAAATGTCCGTCTATATCTCAGGATATAGAAGATACTCGGATATTCAGCAAAATATTTTATGGGTATCTTTAGTAGAGGTTCATAAGTAACCAATGATTATTGAATAACGTCGAAAGAAAATAGCAGAGTTAAAAAATATTTTCAACACTCTGCCTTTGATTTTGCCCACTAAGGAGAAAGTCATTCTTATTAGGTATTTTCAGCAATAAATGGAAATTCTCGACTCCAGTCTCTAATGGAGTCTGATTGGGATATCAATTTCGATCGAACTCAATTACGGCGGGTTGAGCATGACAACGAGCGAAAGTGGTATCGCGATCTATACTTAGTAAGCAAAATCAAAAATTATATCTAGTGGATATCCACCATGGTTTGCGTTCGCGCCTTGACTTTGATATATTTAGTGGATGTCCATGGGATATTGAATATACCTTAAAAAAATTAATTTTTAATATCTGAACGGTTACTATTAGCCACAATGACGAGCACAATGGCGTATTTTTTAATACTTTGCCATATAATTACTATTATTTATGGACATTTGCATGTCTATAAATTACATATCATGGATATAAAATAGATATCCACCATGGACTGGACATTCAGTGTATTATGGGATGTTCAGTAGATATCCAAAGGATTTGGTATGCTGTCTGGGAATATTCTCAATAGATTCGGGAAATATTTTTATCAACGTATTTTGTATTATAAAAATGGTACGCCACTGCTTTTTATAAAAACCAAAATTATATTTAGAACCTCATTTATTTTGGATCAAATTTGGTCCATAGATTTACTTCCGTACGACGCACCGTTATCACGTAAAAAAATAAAAACTAAAAAAATATACAATGTTTAAATTTTATTCCCATTTAGTAAAATTGTTGACTATACGTTGACGAGTAAAGGCAGGTATTTAATTTAGGGTGTTAAGATATTTAATATGAGTAAAATGAGAAAGAAGACATTTGGAATTAATTGCTACCAAATCATTAACATTTCGGAGAGGTTTGAACCCCTAAAACCCTCCAAGAGTGCGCCACTGTTGAGTGGTATCTTTTTTACTCCATAAGAAACTATGGTTTATCAAAATACGACTGCATAGTACAGTCAACAGCAACCACACAATGCCGTCCGTCTATTTCCCAAGATTCTCAAATCGTTGTAGACTTAGGGTGAGATTACAGAACGTCTACAACTTTGCAGATCTGCAAATATGGCGGCAACTTTGAAAATCTGCAAATATGACTGACTTACACATGCAAGTATCAAGTTTTCGTATTCCAAATTTGGGTTTAGTTTTGTTGGGGGTAATAAACCACAATAAATATTGCGAATTTGCAGATATTTTTTGGAATACTTGCATTTGTAAGTCCGCCATATTTGCAGATCTGCAAAGTTGCAGATCTGTAAAGTTGCAGACGTCCTGTAATCTCACCCTTAAGCCTTGAAAGCTGCAATGCCATCAATGGATCCTGGTGAAGGATTAGAGTGATAGCTAATACATTTTAAAAATGTATAGCATTTTTTTATTTTATAGATAGTTTTTTATTGCAAGTACAGAAACTAAAATAAAAAATTACCAAGATTGACTAGTTTCATTTCAACTGTGAAAAAATTAAAATGATGATGTGCGTGATAAATGCATTTATCGGCTTGCTTGCTTCATCTGTAAAATAATTAAAATAATTGCTGACGTGCTAGGCAGACCATGAAGGCATATTTTGAATCAAGATGGGAAGTGGTCCGAAACTTAAATATCAGTCATGCTGCCATGAAAATTGGATTGGATAATCAATTGTATGGTAATATTCTAGAAGGCGGCAAGGACACATTCCATGATAGAAGAATGTTTAATACAGTTTTGGTCACCTGAATACGCAGTACAGCAGCAGATTAATTAAAAAATCTGATGACTTTCCTGTCTTATCTATAGTTATTATAGGCATGCTTTTTCCGGTTATTCTGCACAAATTATGTATGGAACAAAAATTATAGAGAATGATATCGCAAACAACTTTTATTCAGACATTTCTTTTACATCATAAATAATATTTTCCTTAGAGTAAAAAAAACGACACCCTATAAAGTATCCGTTTCCTTCACAATACCTAAGTGCTTCCTTTATCCCGCCGAATCCCACAAAACACAACTTGTAATCACGTAGAATCCCAAACCCACCTTACAGAGTCTGTAAATATTTTTATTCTGTAGATGAAGAATTCATTTTGCAAGTCGATCATTGTTATTTGATATTGTGAACTCAAAACAATTTTAAGAGGCCTTATACATCATACTAGTTGTTCATTTAATCGAATTAAATTACGGGTTTTGAGCTTACATTAAATTGTAATTAGATGAAACAAAATGGTGGATTATATGTATTTTGAGGTGATCTTTTCGAAAAAAGGCAAAACAAAATGTAGCCAAAACTCGTGTATACACTGCATTTCTGTAATTTGATTTTTTAAAGTTTTAAATTTCTTAAATACCTAAATTTATTAGGCTTAAAATTTATTAAATTGTATTTCACTGACTTGTTATAAGACGTTTCTTGAGTTTTGTGCAAAATATAGAATTACCGCAAAATTAGCCGCACGTCGCTTCAAGGATAGCCATGGTCTCGGTGTTCGCTATCCGACAAGTTTAAACTTCAAACGGTCATATTATTACAAATTGAATCGCTTGATAGTGTTCATCGGTATAGAATTTTAATAACCGTGTTCAGCAAGCTCTGTGTACACGTGGTGAGAAATTTAGTTGAGTCGAACAACGACTTGTCGATCCATTCAAAGAAAGAAAAAATTGGGAAAACATTTTAAAAAAAAATGTTACCATGGAAATTTCCGGAAAACCCGGTTTTTCCTAATTTAAAAACAGCTACATCTTTTTTTGCTTTTTTTCGGAAAGATCACATCAAAATACATAAGGTCCACTTTGTTTCATCCAATTACAAATTAATGTAAGCTCGAAGGGGCTTTTTTTCGTTATTTAATTGGACTAATTCACTAGTTACGAAGATAAAGATTAATAAGATTTTTGGCATACATTGTACATATGTAAATAGAATATATATTTTTTGTTGCAGGACATGAAATCTGTAGGCATACAAGTTAATATTGAAACTAAAAGTACTGCTACATTTACAGATGACCTAACTGAAGATGCGGAGGACCCGTATAAAAGAAGGTACTTTTATTTATTTTTAGATGTTTCGACTTTTTGTTCCCAATAAAAAAAAAATCGAATCTTTACTATTTTTAATTTTTTAATGCTACACGTTCAGAGATTTGTGTAGGTAATGACGATGCTGTGATACTGAAGTACATACTGATGGCCTAGAAGCAATACCTCGTAAATACAAAATCTGAAGAAAAAGCAATAACATGTATGTGCTTTAAAAAAAATTGAAAAAAGGATTAAAGGATCAAAATGTCATACATAATGTTGTATGTAACTTTTTGACATAGTTTATTAATAAATATCTATTATTATATTATTATAACGGTTTTTCTTCATGACCACCTTTTTGAGAGTTGTACTTACCTGTTATTGCTTCTAGGCCATCGATATTCTGGTATTATATCGCCTAAATATATCTTTTTTACTTCTTAGAGTATATTCTTTCTTGATATTCTTTGTGTTAACTGTTAATTTTCCCTCGAGTAGGTTGACTAGCGGGCAAACGTTTAAAAACGACGATAATCTTTAAAAACTCTACCACTATCCTACTGACTGTGCCAGAAATATTTTTGATGAAAAAAATCACTTTTATTAAAATGAAAATATACAAAAATTACAATTAATAAATAATTAGAAGTAACTCTTACATTGGTATTTGAATTTATATTAAAATATGTGCTGATTTATAATTATGAAGGCGCAGAATCGCAATTTTGGGACAATTAAGTGTCCTTAGTATTTAAATTGCATTTATTGTTGGCGGAGACGGAGGAGGTTTCGACAGAAAACCATGCTTGAATCCAGAGAAACGATTAAGTTCATCAAAATCTGCAGAAATAAATATTTTTTGATCGGATTGGAAGTTTTGCTGTAATGATGGGCATTGCCAGATTTGCCTAATGGGCAAGACATATAGATTTCGTGGTATTCAAGATTAGTTGATAGGACTAGGTGTTAAAAATTATGTCAGCTTACTATTTAAATTTCCTAAGATTATTTTTTGAGCTTTGAAAGTATTTGATTATTTCTCATTCCTCAACACATGGTCCTGTAAAACTTCACAAGACAAAAGAAATGTTCTTCGTGTCACCTGTAAAATCACTCTACTCTGACCGAGGTTTTGATAGTAAGCTGATGAATTTGTTTATATTTTTTTATTTTTTAGCCTTACTCAAATATTCGACCAACTCAAGACTGACCTAGTAAGCTTACACAGCCATATTGAAAATCAAAGCCTAAGACTGTAATGGAAGAAAACCCAAGCAGATGCATGACATTTTTTTATTATCGTTCTAACAACCATGGCATCAATGTAAAAATAAAATTGTTCATTTTATAAATACTTTTTACAAATAAAACTTTTTTCAAAACAAACAAATTATTCTGATAAAATAAAAAACACGACATAAACTAAAATTGAAGGTAAAACACATATTTAAAACATTTTTGGCTTCTTATCAAATCAAGCGAATGCTTCAGTCAAATAACTATGAGCATAGTCATATACAACAAGCATTATAGCTCCACCTGGTCCCAACCGAAGAACTTTGGGAAGAAGGCCTTTATATAAAGCTGTAAATCTAAAAGAAAATTTAAACAATCAAATTTAAAATGTTTTAATAAAAAAATTACAACTCACCCTTCCTCTTTATACACTATACTTATTGATCGAAATGTAGATTTATATTTAATTTGACCTATAACAGGTTGAGGACCCTGTATTCTTGATTTGGCTACATCAAATGGTATATTAATACATGAGGCTAAACTTCCAGAAACAAAACCTATGCCGCATTTTCTGAAAAATTCGTGATATGGATTCTGAAAATAAAAGGAACTCTAGATAGTTTCAAAATTAAATCTCTAGAAATTATCAAGCTATGCGGCCGTCTATGTGCAAAATACACTTGCATAAACCGTAAACTTTTGATTTTAACTATATCTTTTTAGAAATCATTCATCAGATCAAAAAAAAATAATGCTGTTTGGAAGGAAGGCAATTTAATATGCTTTGATATGAGTTTAAATTTATCAAGAGTATATAAATCTGTCGTGCGATCGCCTGAAACCGGTCCTGTTCTTTCAGTTGTTGGAAATAATAATAAGGTTGTCACAATCAACACATGTTTTTGATAACTCTCGTCCTCTAATCTATGTTTTTGTGACGTATGTCATTTATGTCACTTGTAAAAAAATGTCAAGTAGTTTTAGTAGTTGATGTTCGTCACGTTTATACTTAAATTCTGCTAATGGAAAGTTGTAATAATCTACGTGTCTTATTACCCAGCACTCTACAAGATCAGAAAAATAATATCTCTCCAACAGCAATATGACACATCGAGCACCGATTCCACGAACTTCTATGTTAAAATTGAACATTCAGACAGGATTGGATCTTTCTATAATTTCTTAAATTTATTCAGATATGAAAACTGAAATATCTTCTATGAAAAATTAAATTTCCTCTTTAGAAACTAAAATTTCTTCTGACATTTCTTCCTTACAAGAGAATGTAACTTCTGATTTGTCTTCCATGAAAACTGAAATTACTGCTGATGTTTCTTCTATAAAAAATTATATTTCTTCCTTGGAAGAAAAAGTATTGTCTGAAAATTAAAGTTTCCTCTAATATATCTTCTATAAGAAAGATTACATTTTTTCCAACTTAAAAAGTAAAATTTGTTCTATGGAAAAAAGATGTCTTCTAATGAGAAGAAAATAATGTCTTCGTTGAGTAGAAAATAAAAGAGATAGAAAAGGGGATAGAAGAACTGAAACATACTAAACAAACCAAGGGCGGTGAAATAAAGTACCATGAGGTGGAGTCAAAGTTGAAATTGGAAGAAGTTGTAAATGCTGCCCGTGAAGATGTCATGGACCAACTACCTTAAACAGTTGAAAACAACTGCCAGAGCAAACGAATGGTCCGAAAAAGAAAAGGCAGTAAATCTTATCATAGCCCTTCAAAGAAAAAGACACTGAACATGCGATATGACCACGAACACTTGAAGCATATGTATCAATCATTGCTAAAGAATCGTAAACAGAAACGTAAAGAAACCCTTCAAGAATATGAAGCAGATATTACCAAGTTGGTGCGATTTGCCTATCCATCAGCTCCCGAATACATGATAGAATGTTGATGGACTCCGTGACCACGAAATGCAGAAAATACTTCGGTTAGCCCGTCACAAAATAAGGCTCCATATTGTTGGCCCAAATTATCTCATACTTCCACTCTAGAGTATGAGGCAGCTATGCAGACTTCTGGAGGTTACAGTAAAGTGAGGAGACTGTGGAAGATAAACTCGAGTAACTGATGAATGAAGAGCTTTACTGATAAAAAGATGAAGACAAAGACCATCAGAACCTAGGGTCACAACAAATGAAAACAACACGCCCAGGAAAACTAGAGCGGGTCGACCTAGAGAGGGCAGCTTCGACCCTGTACCGTTCCAAAGACCTTCTCATACTGATAGCCTCTTTGAAATGTTGCCACAGCTTATACAATACAGCTAAAACACTCTCTTGGCGGCAACGGTTTGCGTCGATTTCGTCGCACATCGCTTAAGCTCCGCCTTCGAAGGGAAAAGACGGTTTTGGCGTTCAGAAGTGTACTTAGGTAAGGTGTTGAGTCGTGCGTATAATTTCGTTGATTGTATAATTTCATGGAGCCTATAATTTCGTAGATTTTGTTTGAGTTAAATGTACTGTTATTATTTTGGTGACTCTTTAGCTGTGAGTAGAATGAATGAAAAAAAGACATCATTCTGTTTGTGCAGTCAAAAGCTGTTTTAATAAGGGTTATACCTGCAAGAAAACATTCTTTAGTTTTCCCAAGGACCCAAACCGATAAGTACCACATTATAAGAAATTTTCATTTGGAGTGAGGGTAGCCATATGTGAGTAGTAGGGATTAAGTGTAAAGGTTAAAGAAAAGGTCCTTTATTTCTCACAAAGTCAATTTATTGGCGACCGGTTTCGAAGTTGTCACTTCATCATCAGGCACACCTAAATGGAATGTCAAGGAGTCAGTTGTAATAAAAACAATTATAAAAGCATGAACGGACTTTAACAAATACAAAATAGAAAAAACACAAAAGAAAGTTAAACAATATTGTTTAACTTTCTTTTGTGTTTAATATTCAATATTGAAAAGATATTTCAAAATAATTTTGAAGAATTGGCTACAAAAAATAACATTTGTACCACACTTTTAGAATTAATTAACCCAATACCCTTTAGTCATCCATGCTAACGTTTTCCAAAAAAATAACTTATTTTATTGTATGTTTAATCTCAATAACTAAAAAATATACTGACAATTAGTTTGACAGAATTGTCATTTATTTAAAATTTTAAAAATAATAGCAGTCGGTTGATCAAAATATGAACGGTGATTGGCGAATTTATTTTTTTTTTGCAGTGTTCTCACTACCTAGAATGGATATGAAATATATTCGTTCAATTGAAGGCAATAGCATACTTTTTCGTTTTGTAATCTGTGCATGGATATTAGCCAATCTACGCACATACTACAAAACGAAAAAGTATGTTATTGTGTTCAACTACGAATATATTTCATATCCATTTTAGGTAGTAAGAACACTTTAACAAAATTAAATCTACAAATCACAGTTCCTATTTTGGTCACCCAACTCCTATTATTTAAAATTTTTTAAATAAGTGACAATTCTGTTAAACTAATTGTCAATATATATTTTAGTTATTGATATTAAATATACATTAAAATTTTTGTGCAGACTCGATAAATAATAGCATTTTTGTTTTTATTGTGTCCACATTTAAAAAAAAAATAAATTTTAATTAAACTACATGATACTAATTTAATTACGAGTATTAAAACTAAAGTCCTGAAAGTTTCGGTGAAGATGAAGACAGAGCATCTGCCTTCCACGCGAAAAGTCCGGGATCGAATCTAGGCCGAGGACTAATTAATTTTTCATGTTTATTTTATTTTATAAATTAGTCAACTTCGTAAATTATTTTAAAATTAGTTATTTTGTCTAAATAACCTAAAATAATTTTTTAAATTTGTAGATTTTCGTTAGTGGGTCGTAGAAAAAATATACTGACCATATCGAGTAGATTGTTCATATCACAATCAGACGATTGAGTACTCCGCCTACGACGTCGTGCTCAAACTTCGTCTTTGTGTGATATGGCTATCATATCCACCCTTGTTGAACAAACTACAATTTATTTGTTTTCTTGGTTTAAGTTTTACATCAGAAATAGGAATTAAATTAATTTACTTTTCAAGTTTTCTTGTAAAAATCGATATTACTTTCTCCAAGTACAAATTTAGTACCTACCTAAAATAAGTACTAATTATGTTATATCTTGTAATATTGTAATTCAAATTTCACATTACTATAAAGTTTTAAAATTTCCTACTTCGGTATGGTCAGATAAAAATTGAATATATTATATTAATAAAAACTGTCAAAGTATAACTTCTACAAATCTGTATTTCAAATAATAAGAATACATCTATAACCAATATTGTTAAAACAAAAGCACACATTCTTTATAATTCCAAAATACCATAGAGTTCCCAGACCTCAGTTGAAACATTCGTTTATCTAGGTATAAACCCTTTGCGCGAAGAGTAACACTTGCCAGAGACATGGGGGTACCACTTGATTTGCATCCACGAGCGTGACACAATTCTTTAACAATTGAAGCCCTTGGTGTAAAATGGATCCAAGCCACAATTTGTCGTGAAGTGACTGTTTTAGCTCAAAACATTTGTTAACGAGGATTTTACTAGCCACATATAAATTATTTTACCTCTAATCCGAAAGATGTGCTATTTTTCGTAATATTTATATTTAAATAATTTTTTTAATTATATTTGAAAGATTTAAAACAAATTAAAAATGTAATTTCACAAAACTTAGTTAATATGGCATGTGACCAACCTTATTACGCCAAGGTTTTCAATTTTTTCAATAATAAAAAAATTGTTTAATCCGGACCCGACTTTTCCCTCGAATCTAACAGAGATAGCACCATTCCGTCTTGCTTGGTTCTCGACCGCCAGATCAAAGACGCCGACACGGAGTTGTATTGTATAAGCTGTGATGTTGCGATGATAGTGTATACGTAGACGGTGAAGGTCGACAAAGAACAGGATAGGTTTCAGGCGATCGCACGATAATATACAAAAAATCAATCTGGTAATGGATGATGATATTAAAGGCGTTTTTTTGAAAATTTTTAACATATTTTGCATTTGTTTATTTTCTCCTTCTTTGATGCAAATTTCTTATTGATACTAATAAAGTAAATATACTTTGATTTTTCAAAATGTTGATAATTGTAAGTACTAATGGCGACCACTAAAGCCTGATTGTTTATTTGGTATTCTTATTGTTTTACATACACTGCCACTGTCAATTTTTTGGTAATTATGAGGTGTTTATTATGAATAATATTTATTTTTCAATATAGAATCAACAATTTATATTGGAAGTTTTCAGCTCTTTTGAGTGACAACTCCTAAATTATTGGGAACAATCAGGTTATTTTATCCCTAATGACCAAACATTGAAAAAAAAAATGGTTAACAAAAGAAACATTCATGTGACCAGCAATATTTTTCGATTGTCCAAACATGATTAAAATCTTACCTCTAATTCGGGGAGATAACCTTTAACAGAATGATAAAAACCAAAATAAACCATATTGAATACTGAGTTCCTAGCTATGGTGGCAGTGAGACCTTTATTTAGACCTCGTAGACCGAATCCATTTTCATTTATGATCAGTCTGGTCATCGCCCAAGTGCTGGGCATTTCTGCCGATTTGGATTTATTAGTTTGAAGCGTAACTTTCACCACTTCAAAAGGATTTACGAATATTGCTTCCGTAACGCCTGCTCCAAAACCAGCCAGTGAAAATGTCTAAAAATGCTATGTGGTTAACACAAGCTAAAAGGTAAGATATTATTTGTTGATTGAATTTATGTAGTAAAAGTTATTTTGAGAAAATAAGTTTTACCACAGAAGTTTAGTTAATTATGCCAATTTTATGAATAATAAATAAAAAAATCAAAGGGATATGGGGGTGGGTGATTACCATGATACTATAAAAAGAAGAATGTTAGTGTTTGTTTAAAAAATTTTTTTATTTTTAAAATAAAAGTGTGAAAATCTACCAAATTTGGTTTTACTCTTTCAAAAATATAAAAAGAAGGTAAGATATTATCCAGATTTATACTACACGTCACGGTGACGTACTGTGGTGGAAGGCGTGGGTTTTACGAATTTGACTAATCAGCTGTTCAAAAACATAAACAAATAAACTTTTAATCAGCTCACGGCCAATTATATTCCACACTACAATACGTTATGCGCGAACTCGACGAGTTTTCGTCGGATACGTATCATACCTCTGAAATATTTTGTATCATGGACTTTTCAACAGGAATTTGTGTATATAGTGACCAAATAATAGAACAATATTTCAAACGTGACCTTATATGAGTAAATAAAATAAGATTTTAATTATTTTATGCAAATTCACAGTCTGCCAAATGCCTTCTCACGAATCCTAACTCTTTTAAGGATTCAACGTAGTCTACATGCTGATAAAAAGAGATCAATATCTTTTATACTATCAAGTCCATTTTTTTAATACAATTTCTATGCAACTCATACGTTATAGGTCTTTTCCTTTGCATCGAAAGTGAAGCACTCAGCTACACCACTTCTGAAAATATCGTTCCATTTATACAAAATGTATGGATAGAACGATATTTTCAGAAGCGGCATAACTTAGTGCTACACTTTCGATGCAAAGGAAAAGACCTATTGTTACCCAGTACCCTGCAAGAACCAATGACATATATAGATTAATAGACTGCTCATCCATATATAAACAAGACGACGAAAAGCGGGTCATATAGCTTGGCTTGCCGAGTGCTCACCAGGCAGAATCGGTCTAGCCCAAATGAGTTTAAAACTCATATTTCATCAAAGTAGGAATTGAATTAAAAAAAAAAATTATCTGTATGTTTATTTCAAGACAGGAGGTTGCGTTAGGTATTTTAAAAAAGAATTTTGAGTCATAACGTCTAGTTTCCCAATTTTCAAAACATTTTAAGAGATCTAACCAATTTTGAACATAGATATAAACAATTTTACACTCATGTGTATATAACTAACTTTAGACCACGACCACTGTATAGTGGCACTATTCGGACACTTGATTATTCTTTTAAAATTACTTTCGCATTATAAAAGCAGATATTATGCAAAAATTGAATGAACTTTTTAAAGATTTTACTAAAAGTTGGTAGCTTTTTCACATTCTAAAGTTTGTTCCCTTTAGACAATTAAGGATTATTTTGGCGGTGAATGTGAATGATTTGATGAATAATAATAAGATTCCACCAGTGGAAATCTGATCAACATCATAGTAAAATGAACTAGGTACAAAGTGCAATCTTAGTTGACGTCAAGATCCGTGTACCTTAGCATCGGTAAGGGGGAAAGAAAGATTCTGACTTACAATCACAAAAAGAACGTACAACTAAGCTTAATCGATGTAAGTTAGCTCAGATTAGAGGTAAAAAGAAAGCGACTATTAATAAAAAGAAAAGTAATCCAGCTAAAACAAGGATTATGGCTACTGTCTTTAATAATGATATGTTGCCAGTACTAGTAGAATGTTAAGTGTTGAGTTATCTTCTTCAGGCAATGGATGTACGTATGCATAATTTAAAATGTTTGGTTAATTATTATTATGTTTAATGTGTTTTTGCAGTTAATGAACATATATCTACTACTGAAGAAGATAATGAAGATTTGTGTGCTGCTGAAGAGCTTTGCTTAATTTACAAAACTTGTTTAAAAGCAGAAAATTGGGATCGATTGTTCAACACAAGTGAAGAGTGGTGATTTAGTTGATCCGTTTTCAAACAGAATTGTTAGTGCTAAAGAACTATCTACTTTAATAGGATTGCAATCCTTCCAGTTATTAGCCACCATTGTGGAATTAGTGGCAGAGTTGTTTCTAAAGAATAGGAAAAAGGAGATCAGTTATGTCTGTAAAGGATCAAGTTATAATTTACTTTTATGAAGTTGAAAACTGATATGCAAGATATAATGTCTTATCCATTTTATTTGGAGTGAATGAAACGTTTTATCATTAAATTTTTTAACAGTTTTTAATAAAACTGGTAGAAGTTCTTAGTATGGTATGATTCGGCCTTCAAAACAAGAAATATTAAATAATGTGCCTCTATGTAAGTAAGAGTACTACTTGATTGTACCGAAATCCCAATACAGCAAGCCAAATGTATTTGTTGTAGACTAAAAAATTACTCTGACTACAAAAAGAGGCATACTATTAAAATATTGACTGGAGTGTCACCTACTGGTCTCATTACTTACAAAAACGAAGCTTATGGTGGTAGAACTTCAGAAATAGACATTTTTTAACAAAGATCAATACTTGAAGTGTGTGAATCATTTCTCGATAGTAAAATGTTTAACAAAGGTTTTCTTATTGGAAACATAACAGAAGCTGAAGGTATACAAATTATACAGCCTTCTTTCCTCAATAAAAAAAATCAGTTCAGCCATCAAGAGGCTTTACTTAATGCCAAAATTGCCAGAGCTAGAATTCACATAGAAAGAACCTATCAAAGAATAAAAATGTTTGTCTCTCTGTATTGGTACTTATGTCCGTTTTTCTTCTATTTATATTGAGTTTTTATTATATGATACTTCTCTGTATCTAACTAAATTTTAAAATGTACTTGTAAAGCCCAGATAGCTCTAACTCGGGCCTTTGAATATAATAATATTTATGTAATTGTATTTACAATAAATACTTTATTATTAATATTATTATTATAATTAATTATAATTCATAAAATTATTATAAACGTATTTACCTTGTACATACTTGTATTGATACTTGCGTGAAAAATGAAATGTTACTTTTTATATTTCTGTAGCTGGTCTTACAACCCTTTATAGAGCAATTCACAATTTAAATTTAAAAACAAAACAAGTTTTTATACTCAAATAATTAAAATATTTAAAACAGAACATAAGTATAATTAAAACTAAATAAAATAAACAACTCAACAAAATGTCCGACTGAGTAATGACAATGAGAACAAAATCTCAACTAGAATAAACTTTCTTTAAAACCGGTCCTGTGAAAGTTTTGTTTACCAGTGAGCACTCAAAATTGAGACAAAACACAAACATTGCATGCACTAGACAAAGAGAAAACATCTCCCAGTTCGACCCGCTTTTCATCGTTTTATTTACGTATGGATAAGCAGTCTATTTAAACTATATATGTCATTGGGGGATATTTATGATTCAGAAATAGACATTGACAGATACAAAAATTATAATTATAGAGTTGACAGTGAAAGTAGACACACAGGGGCAGTGTTGTTCCTGGTTGTACAATTGTACAAAAAGTTGTACAATCAGTTATGCGGTTGTACCGTTGTACGCACTTTTGAAAAAAGACAGAAATGTACAATTTGAAATTGCTAAATATTTATGTAAAATCGGGTATATAAAAGGTTTTCTTCGCTCAAAAAGTCTACGATTTGTTAAATAACATGCATTAAAATTAATAAAAAAATAAAAGTTTAAATTTGGCGCCATTAGCGACCAATCAGTACACCGTTTTACATCAAAAATATATTGTAAACTGGAAAAAAAGAAGAATTTTAAGCATGGGAAAGTAGTAGGCCATAGTCTCAATAAAAAAGAAGATTAATTAGTGGTTGTACAATCGAAAGTAAAAGTGTACAATTTTGACATTGACACTGAAAGTTGTACAATTCAAAAATCCCTAGGAACAACACTGCACAGGGGTGCTTTAATTTATGTACAAAGTGAACTTAAGGTTTTAAAATTTTAAATTTTGTATTCCAAAAATGTGTTGGATCTTTTCTGTGATGGTAATATTAGGAAACAAAAATATTACCTCATTTTAATTATTGTGCCACTATATTGTATTTGCTCAACCAGAATGAGTTTCAATGATTGCAAAAGTTGCAGAATAGAGATATGAGGATAAGACTGAGCTGTTCGAGATTGAAACCAATCAATTTCATGTTGAATGTGCTTCAGTGGTTGCCTGTTAAAAAACATTTGCTATTCTATTCCCTGCTATTTATAATTAAGAATAAATCAGGAATCTCCCCAGTATATTTATAAAATATTTTAAGTTATAATCAGGATGTTCATGAACACAATGCACGAAATAAGAAAAATTTTATAGTTTATAAGGCCACGAAAAAATGTACACAAAATTCAGTGTTTTAAAGGTGTACAGATTTTTAATAATTTGCCTGAAAATATTAAATGTTCTTCAAACGCAGCAATATTTAAAAGAAAATTGTGTGAATACTTGTTGATCAATTGATGTGTTTTTTTTTCTTGTTCTTTTATGTTTTGTATAGTTGACATGTAAGTGTACTGTATTTTATGTATTTTTTATTGTATTTTAAATGTATGTTGATTCTATACTTATGTATTTTTTATATTTTAAATGTGAAGATGTATTGACTTGTAAAAAATAGTTTTTTTGACTAAATAAATGATTTTATATGATTTAGAATATCATAATACTTAATTAATTATTTTTAGCCCATAAATACATACGATTGACCAGATCCAGTAATAACAATTTTAAATGATTTATTTTATGATACAACACTGGCACAAAAACATTATTTAATGCGGTTTAACATTTACTATCAGTCCACCCACCAAAAGCCTTTCCAACTTCTGTATCTGCTCTACATTCACCTTTTTATTTCGTCAAACCTCTTAAATATAGAATTAATAAAAAGCATTATGTTTAACAAGGTTTAAAATAAAAACAAATCAAAAACACATAGAAAATAATAAATAAAAAGCTTACCAATGGTGTAGGGGTTGGAGAACCAAACAAAAAAAATTGTTTGTACTGTTCAAAAGTAAAAAACTGGAAGAATAAATGTTTAAAAATACTTTTTAAAACTAAATAATAGCAAAATAACATACTTTAACAGCACGTTTCGGGGTTTCAGCTAATATTGGGGGTACTATACCTTTCCAAAAGGAAAATAACCCTTCTTGTTTGTACATTTTTCCAAAGCAGTCAACAATGCCATTATAGTATTTGGGGTCATTTTTGCTCAAGAATTTCGATGATAGCTGCAGCCTGGTTTTTACTAAGTCAAGGGGGTGCATAATGCAAACTTCAACAAAGCCTTGAAAATATTAAATTGTTATTACAAAAAGTATGCTGAATTTACTGAAAATAACTTACCTGCAGAACCACCAGAGCCTATTTGAATGGCCCCTTCTTTAATAACTTTTTTTACATTACTCATAATGGATATTTTCTTGTTTAGGTACTTAGTATAAGCATATAACAACAGACTACCACAGTAGGTACCTAGTGTGTTAAATATAAAACAAAGATAAATTAGGTAACCAGCTGAAATGTTTCATATCAAAACATTAAACAGGTATTATTAAACATTCATATGGAAACAATTATCATATACTATTTAAACTAAAATGTGTAAGTACTTATAAAGATAACATTTATCTATGCACCGGTTTTTAAACTATTTTGATTTTGACAATAAGAATCTCCAAACAAGGTAAAAGCATTGAGGTTATTTTCTGTTCTTTATTGACATGTACCCTATAGTTAGGCAACACATATTTCATTTTCGTTGTAAAAAAAAATTGTCAGGGGTGAGTTGGCTCAATGGTAACAGTGTGACAGTCGTGACTCTCGCTTTATTTTTTAAAATATTTCTACTATGATAAGTAAAGTAGGTATGACGTTGCCAAAAATTTAATAAAGACCAGTTTAAATCCAGCCTTATTTATTTTTTCATACAAAAATGTGGGGTTTTAGTAATAAAACAAAAATTTTAAGGAATTAAAAACACAAATTTATTAAATGTTTAATGTTTTCAAAAATAAATGTACAATTAGCCGGTTGCAAGAAAGTCCATTAAAATTTATGAACTTTGACGGCACTTGAAATTGTGATAAAATTTAACAGGCTTCAGAGAACTAAATTTTAATAAACGTTTCTACAATCAGCTGTATACAAAAAAAAAAATTCTAAAATAGGCCATGACCGACAGAGAAACAGGTCACGTCCATGATAACGCACGGCTCTGAATTAAATCCAAACTAACGTTTAAAAGAGTTGTACTTTCTGACTTTAGGGAATTTTTGAAAGGCCTACTTTAGATCATTCGCAGCTAGGTTGCTAACTCGAAATTTTATTATTAGGTATTCCAAACAAAATGGTTGCCCGTGAACATTGATATGGCTACAATGTGGGCCTGGGGGTCGATTCTCGACTCGTAGGAATTTTTTCCTATAGGAATTTTTGACATTTTTATATACATCGAAAATTTATGACATTTCCCTACATATAGGAAAGTGTCACAAATTCCTATAGGAAAAGGTTCCTACAAGTCGAGAATCGACCCCCTGGTCGATTCAACAGGGTCAATGATATATATAGTTATATAGATTGATCGTCCATTAGGGTGGTGCAAAACATTTCAAATTAATATTTCCGATTCAGAATACCGCGGAAAAAATAGCCTCAAGTGTACGAGGTGTGTAAATTAAGTAATGAGACTGATTTTCTAGTAAGCGATTTGCCCAGACAGCACACATAGTCCAATGGACGTCCACTATTTAGATCCATTTGAGGGTCAGAATGTCCATACTGGTATTCTAACATCCAGTGTACGTCCGTTTATGATCATTAATTTGACAGCTGCATATCGATACCCAGAGAACGTCTTAATTTTAAGTTTAGTAGTATTTTGACATCCATCTAAGGTCATTATTTATTTGACTTACCACATAATACCCATCTATAAACACTTTCTTTTTTTTTTAATATATTGGTCATTAAAAATTGAATCTATTCATTTCATTTTGTCAACGGAAGTTTGAAATCTTATTCTATTATAACCGTATCTATTAATTGACATGTCGTGAGTTAGATTCCCGCTTAGGTTAAGCAATACAGTGTGGTGAGTTGCGATTGTGTAAAAAAAGTGGTGATTTAGTCTCAATTATTTAATATAATCCAGGAATGGGCGTTTTTTGAATGTCCAGTATTCAACGTCCAAATGTAATCCAGAATGGTCAAAATTGTGCCATTTGTATACTTCACTGGACGTCTATTGGATGTCGGAAGTCCAATAAAAGTAATTTTTGAACGTCCAGACATCCAAAATTGTATATCGAATGGACATCCAATGAACCTATTTGTGCTGTCTAGGTGGCAATACTGGGAATGCGGCAGATGGAGGAGTATGCAAGTAAAGATCTGATAAGCATCCAGAACAAGTTTGAACGCGCTAAAGTTGTTGCGCTGTCCGTAATGAATGTTTTTGTGAGAAAGGTTCTAAAAATGAGTGACATCAATTTCAAACAACGTTGTGCTATCAGATTCTGCTTTAGACTTGGACACAGTACAACGAAAACATTTTGAAAACCGTGTCAGACCTATGAAGACAGTGTTTTGTCAGGAGTACAAGTTTTTAGGTGGTTTAATGAATATTCAGAAGGAAGAGAATCAACTGAAGACGAGCATCAAAGCGGAAGGCCTTCATCTTCAAGACCCAATGAAAATGTTGCCTGAATCAGCGATCTCGTGTGTTCAGATCGTCTTTTGACAGTCCGAATGATCGGTGAAGAGTTGAATTTAATTCACACAACCATTCATCAAATAATTTTGCTGCACGATCAGATACTTCGTAGCGAACACAATGCAATGCCGTATTTTTTAAGCTTCATTCTTATTTGCCATGGCGATTTCTTATTCAACGAGGTGCTAGATTTGTATTGGTCAAATTCATAATCGTCATAGACCTAACCAAGAGAAAATGGTTGAACCTGATGATTATTATTTAGGAGAAATACAACCATGTGTAGTACATGTACAAACCGACGATTATGACTTTGACCAATACAAAACTAGCATCTCGTTGAATAAGAAAACGCCATGGCAAATGAGTATCAAGCTTAAACCTACGGTATTACATTGTGATTGCTACAGAGTATCTGATCCGCTATAGCAACGAGTATTCTACAAGATAATGGGTTGGTAAGAGAAACATATACTTCCAAAGTAGTCGATTGGTATAAAATAAGAAGGAAAAAAAGTCAAAATAGGATTAATTTACAGGCAAAAATAGGATTCAAATAACGTACAGTTCAACAAAATCGAGATAGAAAGTTAGAATTAGATGCGCACTGGCAAATTTAAAAATGGGAGTTATCTCAGTTAACACGAGTAAACACAATGCTACTCACTTCGAACAATCTATATAACTATATCATTGACCCTGTCAAAGCCCACAAGCAGCAATTTCGACATGTTGTTGGAATGCCTTAGTGTGATGTTTGTTGAGTATGGCGAGACAAAATATTAAACAGTTAAAATAAATAACAAAACAAAAAAAAACATCAATCCGGTAAACTTAAAATATAAAAAAAAAAACATTTAACGCAAACACTTAAAAACAAAAGTAACAAATACGTAACAAGTTTATATAAAAAATAAGTTTTTCTACCTTGCATCTGCAAAGCACTATTATATCTACAGGGTGTCCCAAAAAAACTAGGCCAAAGAGTTAACCATAGATTTCTTAGATCAGTGTAAGAAATATCTATTATTTTTTTTTCGATTGGTGCCAAAATTTAGGGAAGGGGTTAAAGGCAATAAACCCCCTTCCAAATAGCGCCTTCTATAAAGTAGGTGATATTTAGGCTCAAATTATGTTTTGTCATCAAAAAAAAAAAAACACCGATGTACCAATTTTAAGCCATATACTTAATAAAACGACGAAAATATAATGGAAAACGTTTTTTTTTTAAATTAACTGTGTCACCCTGTATATTGAACATGATGGCCCCAATCGAAAAAAATAAAAAGAGGTTTCTTACACTGACCTAAGGATTGGCCTACTTTTTTGGGATACCTTGTATAAATATTCTATAGTATTATTTTAACAATCTGGATTGAAATAATCCAATATTAAAATAATTTTACAACATCTTCTTTATCATCCATTTCATCTTCTTTGTCGAGCTCTTCATCTTCTTTTTTGACTCCTTCAATTGAGTAAAATTCATCATATTCTGTTTCATCCTCTTCATCTTCTTTTTTTACCTCAACGTATTCTGTTTTAATTCCTTCACTTAAGTAAAATTCATCATCTTCAGCAATGTTCTGTTCGTTATTCCTTGGGTTATACAATTTTCCCGCCAATTTAAAATATTCCTCTGTACTGTCTGCTTTCAGATCATCGCATTTTTTAGAAAACAAATACTTGGCTAAATCACCGGCTGATTTTACGTTTTTATGAAATTTGGCTAAAGTAACAGTCTTGGCTTGGCATTTATCGTCTTTAAATGTTATTGAATGGTTTTCACTGAAGAGTTTGTATTTAGGATCAGTGAGGCAATTAGACGATTTCAAAAAATCTGCAATAATAATAGTTCCTTTTTCAACCCATTGTTCAATAATAGGTATAAGGTTATCACTATCATGTTGTTTCACAATAACCATAAATATCTTACCTGTCCCTCTTTCAAATCCCCCAAAAACAAAGCTGCCTTCTGCATCGTCACCTTCATAACATTTTACTTTACCCAATTTAGTTTCATAAATTTCTATAATTTTATCAGGTCCACCGATTTTTTGGGGGTTCTGCAAGAAGGACTGGAGAATCACCTCACTGCAAAATCTTGCACAATTCATAGCAGTCTCGTAGGTAATATCAAGCTCAATGGTTATTATTTCAAAAGAAATATTTTTCATCCAAAAATGGCTTAATCCCAATATTTGGAAAATAGACAATTTGGAATTGGAGAAAATTGTTCCACTTCGAATACACACCCTGTAGGAGCATGATTTTTTGTGACTATTTATCTTCCCACACCACCAATACCATTTTTCCAGTCTACAAAATTATTTTCATTTAATGTTATAGTTTAACTAAGATATAATATATAGTGTGTTTCATTAATCATAGAATAACTGGAGAATGCTTGGCTTAAAATATGACGCATTTACAATGTGTTATAATCATTTTATCTTTTATATATATATACTCGACCAGCGTATCATGTGGCATCCAGCAAAAATTTTGACTTTCTGACAGCCACCCTTTCCAAAGACTTTAGGAAAAAAATAAAAATATGACTTCTTTTGATTAAAAAAATATTATCGCTGAGCGAAAAATATCACAACCATACACATTTAAAAAAAATAAAACGTCCTATCGTTGTGAGATCCAAAATAAACACGGTATATATTTTTATTAACAACACTTTGTGACATCAAGAAAAACCTTGCAACTTGTGACATCCAGTTGTTACGTCACAGTATACCATTTCTACAAAAAATTTGCTGTTCTTGTAACATCCAGCAAGTATATAAATACATTTTTAAATTGGGCATCTTATTACATCCTTAAAACTTAACACGTTTAACGCCAAATCCCACCCTCAAATTCTTCGATTTTTTTATTGTTTTTTATTCTAATAGGATTTGTTTAGTTGTTTTGTATGTGATAAAATTATTCATTCCATTTTCAAATAATTTTCTTTTTAGTTTTTAATTGTGTATATTTTTAGATACACTGGCCCAAAAATTAGTTTTCGAT